GAAGATAGAAATAAAGAAGTTAAAAAGTAGAAAAGTAAGAAATAGGGGTATAAAAGTAGAGAAGAAATAAGGAAAGAGATAAGATTGGTTTCAAGAAAATCGGCCCACTGGCAATATCCTTACTCATCCCTGACAGTAATACTTAGTTTTACTACCGTATGAGATTCCGTCATCCAATTGAAGAAGAAAGTTCATGACCCACTTAATAAAATCTATTATGAAATCATATACGCCTACTTATAATTTATTTACAATAGAAAAAGGAATCGCCACGCTATATGAAAAACCCAAGTAAACAGATAATTTGTTCAATCAACTACGTTCATGACTATCTTAAATTTAGAAAGCATTTGAAATTCTCTTTAAAAAAAAAAGAAACAGACAACATTTTCTGTATCAATTCTCGCAACCATCCTACAGTAGTTGAACGAACTTAACATATATGTAAACCATAAAGTGACGCGACTTTAATAATATAAATGATTATGATTGAGATGAACGATAGTGTCTCTTAAATAAAATAAGCTAACACAGTTTAACAGTGAAATAAAGTAGGCTAGTCTCTGTTATATCGCATCTAATAGAAAATTATAATAATATAGACCCCAGGTTGGATATAAAAATATCCTTCCAAAAAAATAACTATCATTCTATGTTTATTTCATTAAGAAGATTAATATGACTATTTCTCCCCGGATGGCGAATGACAAAATCTTTTTCGCGCCCACCAGATTGCAGCTAACGCAGCGGCCAGAAATCCAATTCCAGCGATAATTCCCATAGAGATGGCGCGATTTTTTCGATATGCTGGAACTTCCAGAGTGACGCGTTCACTGGTTGCTTCGTCGTCGGAAAATGACATGGCCACCACTTCAAAAATGTAGTAACTCTCTTCCTCGAGACTTTTCACTGTGAAGAATGATTTAATCTTTTGTGAATTTTTTAATTATTTATATCATTAAAAAGCACAAATAAATTAATTACCAAGATAATACGTGTCTGTCGTTTCTGCTCTGCCATATAAATGCTCTGCCGGACCACGGAACCATCTCACTATGTAAACTCTGACAGATTCGCTTCCATATGATGGTGGATCCCACGTGACCAGGTATCCCTCCACAGTGGTTTGTACTCTTACGTTTTGCGGGTGTCCCATCGATTCAGATGCTATAGATGATAAAGATTGTATAAAATAATAAAATTCAATTTTTAATAAATCTTTCGATTAATTTCAATTCTCTGTACCTTTTGGACTGCGAAATTCCGATGCTGAATTTTGATCTATATCGCCTGAAGTTTCAATACAGAATTAATAATATAAAATAGCAAAGTAATAGTTAATAAAAATTTTATCGTTGATCAATTCCTACTTGGTTTAGTAAATATCCTCAATGATTTACTGAACATTCCATCGCCATTTTTATCCTGACTCAGTATCATGAACTCGTACTCTCTTCCAGGCGTCAAATTGTTGATTGTGGCCTCAGTAATTTTGCGCGACAGGATTTTCATGGTTCTCCATTCAGAGGTATCAGTGGGTCTATACCTATATATATATATATATATATATATATATATATATATATATATATATATATATATATATATATATATATATATATATATATAGACGTTATTAATAAAAAAATCCTCCATCGTTAAATAAATACAAGTATAATAAAATTAGCTTGGTACCAAACAGAGTACTCCATTTTGGGCCTGACGTATCCTGGCATCCAGGTCAAGGTAACAGTATTCTTGGTACTGTTAGCATTAAGATTATAAGGTGCTCTGGGTGGTGCATTAAGAACCATCAGTTCAGCATCAGCCACAACGGTTGCAGCTTCGTTACTGGCACTGCACTGATAAATACCCCTATCCTGTTCCTGGATTCTTTCAATGGTCAGATTACCACCACTTATAGCAGTGCGATTAGGCGGAAGTGGCTGTCCGTCCTTCTGCAGAAATACACATTAAAAAAGTACAATAATCCACAACTAATTGGTATGATTTCAGAAAATAATCATGTCACCAAAAACAATTACAATAAATGCTTAGACCCAATACTCATGGAAAATAAAAGTAGAAAAAAGCAAATTGAAAATAAGTGACCTGATTAATTTAAAAAAAAAAAAAAACTTTCTGAAGCACGAAGACATGCGCTGACCCTCTACCATTAGAAGTGAACTCCAAGATGTCTTAACGATTATAAACGCATCTAAAGCTGCATGGCGAATCGTTGCGTGGGTAAAGCCGTGTTTCTAATCGAGTAAAGGAATAGCCTGACAAGGCTGCGGGCCAGTCATTCAATAATGAAAAAGGAGCCAGTCACGAGAGCACGAGGAATCTCACGCTTTCTGGATTATTCTTCCTCGCGCCAACCGGAAGCGACCATTAGAGTATGTTTAATGTAATAAAAAAAAAAGACCACCCAGTTACCTTGTACCACGTGATGGTGGGTCTGTGGGACTGATCGCCGTCCTTGGCGTCACATGGGATTTCTAAGGTCTCGCCCAGCTTCCTCATATACAATTGCTGAGGTGTCACCGTGAAGACTGGTGGCTTCTGAACGATCTAGAAAGGGAAGAGTACGAATGCCAGATAAATTATTCTCGTACGTATAATCTGCTAAGGTGAAGGCACGAATGTCCCATTAGGTCCAGGAACCGCCGTAGCGTACAAGATCATAACTGAAGAATAAAAGACATAATGGCCGACGTTAACTGGTCAATGGTCAATGGTCTCAAATGTCCCAGTGACATATCCTGTCTGAACGGTGCTTTCGAGACGGCATAAATAACCCTTTGACACGGTGGATACCTCATTCAAGTAACCCGCAGCCCTTTTATGACTTTCATCTGACGATGACACTCACCACTGCTATGGAGGGACTGGGCCCTTGGGTCCCCAAGATATTGTACGGAGTGCAGCTATAGCTTCCAGAATGGGTCTCATCGACCTTGCTGAAGTACAGAGACCCGTTGCGCCTATAGAAGACACCGGGAACGTTGTAAGGATCGAAGAGGAAGCCATCTTTCTCCCATCTTAGATTAGTCAAGGGTGGATTGGCCCGGAAGTGACAGTCTAACAATGCAGACCTTCCATACGGAAGGTAGACCTCCTTCGGAGCGTAGATGACCTTGGCCTTGTCTGGAAGAAAGAAAATTTTTTTAGACAATTATAAAAAATAAAATATGAAATGACCTGTTTTTTTCATTTTTTTTTTTTTCATTTTTGGGACTCACACTGAACGTTCAGAAATGCTGAAGCGTTTTGTCGTTCGCCATTTTCGTTGCTGACCATACACGTGTACTCTCCAAGGTCGCCCATCGCAGCTGATGTTATCGTCAAACTCCCATCGTCACCGACGGAAATTCTGTCTCTGAGATCCTAACGAAGATACCGGAAGTTCAGTTCAGCCAATGGCGACCTTCGTCTCGCTTACCTTTAAGTCAGAGACGTCCAACCCGTCGCGCAGCCAGGTGACGATGCTGTACGGATTTTTCGTGATGCATTCAAATTGTACCGGTTCACCCTCCATTGCTGTTTTGTTGACCGGTGGTACCGCAAGAAGATTGCCTCCTGGAACAAACGGCGCCGACGCACCTGGGTTGAACGATTTAACGAGTCTGTCCAAGTTCCGGTTAGTAAGCGGCGCTTGCAATTGTTATATACAAAATTCCCACCCAAAAAAAAAGAAACAAAAAGTGCAAAGACTAAAGAGAAACATCTATAACACGTAAATCCCGAGATGTCATCATTTCTATCCACTTTTTACCAGACACCGTCGGGAGTACCGGATGCTGTTAGATGAAAACGGAAGCGAGCTCGAAGCTGTCATTGTCCGAACTTCTGATCGACAGGAACGGGTGTGTTACTTCCATTCAGCTTCCATTCCATTAAGTTCCAGTATCCTTCGATCTTGTCCTTTCCAATAAATGCCATTAAATTTCCAGGGGAAAATTGAATTAGTCGAAGAAAAAATTGTTCAATCCTTCTAGAACCATGCGGCAATTATAACATAAAAGAGAAAGATAAACCAAAGTAATTAAATGACTCTGGCGGTTAATTCAAATAAATTTATCTCACGTCCCAGACGAGTCAGCTGGTTAATTCCTTTTACACCATTAATATTTTCTACGCAGAAGACAAATTTTTGATATGTACATCGATGCTTACCGTCTACCGTCAGATGGGACCAAGTTCCATTGTTCCTAGAACTTGGCGTTCTATTTGGAAATATTACACGACACTCGTACCAACCCTCATCACTCTCTCGGATATTAGTCAGATTGATACTGCCCTGACCATAACTTTGACCGCCGCCGTCAGTCAGTAGATGAATCCTTCCTGAATAATCGTCAGCAGAGGAAAACACGCCGTCGTACCAGGAGAAAATTGTACGGCCCTGAAATATAACACAGGGACAACAGTAACGTCGATCAATCCCAAAAAAATACTTGCACAGATCGACGAGTCATACTGGCTATAAAAACATTTAAAAAAATGCCCGGATCCAGGGTTCATTGTTATTAGTGATAAAGAGGAAATTTGTCATGGTAGAATTTCACATGGACTTGATTGAGTTAAGGCCCGTCTTAATAGGATTTAACCGAGCCTGATGAAACTTAGTCCCCTTCCAGTCAATTAATAAGTGTCGCTGTCGACGAAATTTCTACCGAACGTCCGAACCGACCCTATTCATGGGGGTGCTCACTGATTTTACATCTGTAATGTCCTGAAACTGGACGAATTTGAAGCCGCTACTTTTTTTTCAAAATTCTTTAAAAAGTCGAATCGACTGATTATATTTTTTTTTTTACGTTGTGTTTTATCTCCAATCGACAATTTGATCCATAATAATAAACCGAATTAGATTATTTACTGGGAATCCTATAGCCCGTCAAAACATGGCTGACGAAAATTGTACTAATCGTCTCTAATCGTATGACAATGCGATAGCAGTGACCTACTGGCAGAACCCCTCATGTCGCAGACTCACTATAACTAAATATAATGCAGCCTTGTGTCCTGTACTCCAATTACTGGCACAGAGTGTACCCGATTTGCATACGCATCAGGGCCCAATCAAGTTAATTTCCACTTCATTTGATCAGACAGTAAGAGAGCTACGAGTTGGTATTTTATTTCCGCCCTTTAGAATAGTATGTACAAATGATTCTAACGGAACTGGAAAGAAGGAGAGGTCGTCAAAATCATTCCTTATTTAAATAGATATGACGTAAGGATCACCGTTAATTCCTCAGCTGATAAAAAGTTCATTATGAAAGTTTCTACAGACGAATCGTACGAATCGAAAATGCTGATCAGGCTCAGGATGGCATTTAGTCTTTAATACGCTTTAATCGTCAATCAGTCATCGTTCGTCGAATGACTTGTCGTTCGAGTGATTACTATGCGCGTTATCTCGCATTCGGAATTGTCCCTATTAATAATTCGTTCGAATCAATCACGCATTTTGCCCAGGCAATTTAACATATCACGTCACTCACGTAATCAAAGTGTACCTGGTGATAATTTTCAACAATGAATTCCCTAGGTAGGTGACTTCTAGTTATATTCGGGACTTACATCTCGATTCCAATGAAGTATATAAGGTATCGGTATGTCATGTGGAAAGTCGAGGTCACAGTTCAACACGACGTGCTTGCCGACCTCGGTAGTTGAATTAGTCGTTTTCTTTTCTTCTTCCAAGAGAAGTCCATATCCGAGTCCTACGAATTAGGAAAATCGCGAAAAAAACAATGGTCATAGAGAACATTCGAATTGGGACCAATGAAAATAAGAATTATAAAAAAAAATTTAATCTCACCCTCACAGCAACAAAGGATCACCAGGATCCCAAAAGTTCTTTTAACCACCGAATAGCTCATCCTGTGTCTCATTTTTATTTTCGAAAAATAAAATCCTTGTCCACTTAATTTCCGTAACTGAATCGAACCAAGATCACAAGTACCACACAGACTGCGCAAGATCAGTCATCTCGTATCACCGATCGATATAACGCGCACTTGATAATTTTGGGATCGAAAAAGAAAAACAGTCCAAAAAATTATTTCCAAAAAAACTTTCTGTTTACACCGTTCGCGACTTCATCGCGCTGCCAAGTCAAAGCGCATACTAGTGGTCACCGGTGGCAGTGCGACTGTAATGGAGTTTCAATCACAGATACTTTTTCAAATTGCCGCCCCTCGAAGAGAGAGGGGATGAAAGATTGACAGAGAGTGGGAGAGAGAGTGAGCGAGTAAAGGGTGTACGGGAAATAAAGGATGGAACAAGAAACGTACAGTGCGAGTGAAACGCACTGTAGACAATTATGTAGATCTGTATTAACCAAGGAGACGAGGATCAGTGTTATACGAGAGACGGACCACCGAGGATGGGATGACGTATGAACATGAGGACCACTACTGGGCAAAGGCTATAACTTTTGTCCAGGAGACGACGTTCCAGATCACCACGTTGCTCCCCGAGCAGTCGAGAAGTGGAGGAAAAATAATCGAGTAGGTAATTGTGGCTCCGACTAAGCGGATACGAGTAGAAGAGTCGTATAGTGGGGGTTTAATTCAACGTCATACGGGGCCTGTCCGCCATTGTTGCAAGCACGTCACACCCACGAGGACACTGTGTACAAGAAAGGGTTAACTTACCTATGTACCAGACAAAAAATTATGACGAAAATAATTTTCCATAAGATCAATAAGTTCTCACGAGATCGATTTACCGACACAGCATTTTTGCTCTGTTTTACCGACCGATAGCCCTGACACGGAAGATCGGCTTTTATCAGCAATCGGAGACGATGTTCTAGAATTTCTCAGCCTGAAGAAAAAAAGCATACAGATATTTTCCATTAACCATCACATGTAACCGGAGACCAGTTACTCTGCGAAAGACGTAGCTCCTCTATGGTCCTGACACTCTTTTTTTTCTTTTTTCGTCATTCTCTTTATTTACTCACCCACGCGAGTAATTACGTCTTACGCGGTTATTAACGAAGTCGTACGCGTCTTCCGGTTGACTTGGTATTTACGTTGGTATTCAGAGCGCGACTGCTATTGGGTTTCGCGCCGATTCTACGAAGGGACCAGTTACGGCATCATTGGTTCCACACGGTACCAGTACCTTTGTAAATGGTACCGATTAGCCTGGTACCAGCCTCCCTGGTACCACGTGGTTCTATGATTTTCCAATCGATGTATCAAGAAAGCAATAAAAATGTATTTGGAGATGATCGAATTCTTCGAGGAGACGAAACAGAGTCCAAGCCCAGTGCTGAGTGTGTCATTTGCGTGGGTGACCTCAGATTACGTCACATCCGTCCCTTGCCGCATTATCAGACTGCCCACAGCCTTGTCACGCTGTTGAGATAATGGATCCATTCGCATGATCTAGGATTGGACGTGCTCGGGACACTGGAAATAATCCATGCATAATGATCTCCCGGGGCATTGTTTCATAGGCGACGTCGAATCGTCTCATAGTCGTGCACCTGTTTCCGGTAGTATTCCGTATCCGTATAGGAAGAGTATTCCTATTTACCATAAAATTTGAGTACGTAATAATTCAAGACTCTTAACGACTGGTGCAATCGTATTGTTTTTTTTTGTATCATGGCAAATCTCGTCTAATCACGTGGGACAGAACTTGGGAAAATCCAATGAAAACCAGTATGATTCACTCGTGGAAACGTGACACCTCACGAGACCTTGCGCCGAATACTCGTGCAGGATACCTATTCGTGTCGCTCCAGTTCGGTCTCTGTGCGACTATGCGCAAACACGGCGAAATCATGGGAATTACGTCAATTTAGATTAATTCGGATTAATCAGTGTCGGCACGCGCCGTTCCCTCGATTCTGGGGAATTCTCGCGGCGCCGCTGCGAGCGCCGACGCTTAGGAATTCTCGCGTTTGAGGGAAAAGGGAGGAGGCTGGTGAATTATTAATGCATCGCCGAGATTACGCTAGACTTTGTCGAGAGGTCGGTTGACAATGTGGGATTTTGCCGCTGCATGGGAACGCCGCCTGCGATACGTAGATATAACGGACTTACCTTGTTAGTAGTGTAAACGCAGTGAGAAATACGTAAAACGATTGGATGACTGTGGACAACATATTTTATTTCATCTGAAACGTGGTCAATAATTCGTATCCTTTGAAATATCATTTTATTCTTCGTTTTATTTAATAATAAATTGTCTACAATTTTGTCCTAAGTTGTATGTTTTCAATTTTTTCTCTTTTTTTTTTTTTCTTGGAGTTCTCGAATGAGGAGTTGCGAGGGACAATAAAGAGAATAGACGTGAACAGGGGTATAAAGAATGAAAGTAAAACGGTAAAAATGAGGATGCAGTGACGAATGAATTTGACGGACGAGGGAAGGATGAAAAAGGGGTATAAAAAATATAAAAAAGGAATAAACCAAAAAAATTTGATTATTGCAAAAAAATGAAATGATAGGCCTGATGGGTCGAGGGGACGAGATCATGTAATTTAGGGAGGACGTAGACGACGAAGAACGTACAATAATAATTACAGATGATATATAAACAAAAAAAAAATAATAATCAATCAATAAAATAGTTCATAAAAATAATTAATATCAATCAGTAGGTACATTAATGTCAAAGGAAAACTTGTACTGGGAAATATCGACAGAGACGATTCTTGCTGTCGACATCGAATTTTTACAGTGAGTGCCGTAAACGTATTACATAATTACAATGCGTAATCGTAATTATAATAGTAAAAGGTAATTGACTACACTAAATCGTCGCTACGCATGCGCCTTGACGACGATTCTTTCGAGCGCGTCTCTCCGTCTCAGCCGATTTTTTCAAAACTGATAATAAAATACATTTCCGTCCTTTATAAAAAAAATTTATATCATTGGACAACAAAGTAATAATGTAATTATGACAGTATGCACATTCGCATCTCGCGTATTTAATTTCTCGGTCTCCCTTCGCATTACAGAATATTAGGGCACATTTAACGTATGTTACATACACGATACGCGTACACAGATTGCGTAGGGATGCCGAGGATCGAGAATGCCAAACGAAAAAAAATGAGGGTTAAAATTTCGTCGATAATGAACGTAAATAAATACCCTTAAGGGGAAAAAATGACAGACTAGTCTGGCTGGGAAAACAAAACGAAAAAATTATATAAGGCTGATGAATGGAATAGACGCGCGAGAAATGTCGAAAAATGAAAAATCGCCAAGTACAACGTGAAGCGTCCTGTACCCGACAGCCATAAGATATTAGAGCGAGGCTTTTTTTTGTTATCTAAAAAAACCGCGTGGCCGTTTACGTTAGGTAGCAGTATAAGGAGCGCAGAAAAGAGTTGACGAAAAAAATTTTTTTTTTCAAAATAGGAAAAATATATTTTCAGTTTAAAAGCAAACTATGCTCGACCCAATTAAAATGTCGCGTTTGAAAGAAAGTATTAACGCGGAAATGGCGTGCGGGATAAAAACCGCGAGGCAAATGGCTTTCAGGTACGGAAGTATATATATATAAAAAAAAAAAACGAAATTCAAAAAGAGAATACTACGCAACATCGAAATTAAGATTCACGAAAAAAAAGGGCAAAAATATATTACATAAAACTGAGTGTCGTTTTTTTTCTTCTTCTTATAATACCTTCCCTTTCAGTGATAAGAGCGATCGTGACACTGATCCATTGCATTGGGATCATCCTCATATTTTATCACTCACAATGATCCAGAAAAGTAATGTCACGACTGTCCTTGAAATTAATAAGTAAATCGGTGGTTTTAGATACAGGGAATATAATAATTGCAGGTGACAATGGTGATAATGGTGACAATGGTAATGGTAATGTGAGTGTAAAATAAAAAAGGAAACGCAATGGTATATGGATTAATCGCTTACAACCGATTCACGATTCAACCATAGCCGTACTCTCGTGTGTGTCATGTGTCTTTCGTACGAGCACGCGATACGTGAATTGCGCATGCGGGTTCATACGATTTTCATATACAATATATATATATATATGTATATATGTATATATATTTATATACGGTGACCATAATGTTTAGCGATCCACTCGTGCGTGTCCTCTTGAGATCGTTGTATCTAGCTATGATATATCTACACGTTACTTATACGCCTACCGTGGTTTTTTTCGTCTTCTTCGTCTCGTTACCTAATGACGGTGAGTTTAGGAGGAGAAATTAGGATTTAAGGGATAATTAGAAGGACTAAGGACATCTTGGAATCGTAGGTATTAATTATGACGCGCGAAACGACAATCGACGGAGGCGGTCGATCGTTGTTTCGTCTGTCTTCCTTCGTTCCGTTTAATAATTAGCATTAGTTTTCCTTCCTTTCGCTTCTTTTTCCGTTTTTCCTGTCGACGAGTCACGCCGGCACGGCGCTGGCGCGCCATCGCCATCTCGCGGAAAAAATTTGCAACTCAAGTGGAGATTCTCAATGTCCACTGTGTAATAGATTAGCGCGTACTGAAAATCGATATTGGCATTAATAAGGGCGACAGACGCGATCAGGCGGTGACGCGAGAGCGTCGCGACGACGTCCCACCATTTGTGGAAACACCCAATATATTATCGATAACTATACTTTAGTAATTAGTATGATACAACAGCAATTGGCCGACTCTACGATCGTGCCTTCATATTAAAAACATATCCTCCAACCACGTGCCACTTCGTCGTCTCGTTGATTAATACACTACAGGCTACATCGTTACGATTTACAATATCAATTAATTATCAAATTATTAATTCAATTATTAGAATTACTTTAGAATATTGGTACTCTTCTTTTTTTTTGTTCTTGTTGGTTTTGTGTCGTGTGTGTATATATATACCCCCGTCGCCTCTCTCTCTCTTTCTCACTCTCTCTCTCTATCTCTCGAACCTCTTATAGAATCAGCGCTGAAATCGTATCACTTTGCTAAACTCTCGTCAACGGAATTTTAATTGTCTTTACGTTTGACACTCACTAAGAACACACTCTGCTTAATTACTTTCTCACGATCTCTCGCATTCATTAGTATTTCTTTCGCTTTCGTTAAATTTCTTTTCTATGCAAATTTAACACTGCGTTCACTCGTCCACAGGCGCCGCTGCACATTTATACATGGTTAATCAACAGGTGCTGATAATTAAGGACGTTCTACCAGTTTTATAATTTCTTTATAGCGTTACCAATTTATGGTATATTATTATTGCACGTTCGAAGAATATTTCCATGCGACTTCAAGATTAGTTATCGAATAAATGAAATAAAAAAGCGATTTAGAAAATGCAATGTTTAGCACGGGGTCTTTGGATTCCAAGTTATACAAGACAGGAAGTATTTACTTTTTTATCTGGAAATCCTTGATAGGTTTATAAAAAGCAAAATAATGATAGTATAAATTATAAGCTTTTTAGAAATCACAAAAATATTATATTTTACAAATCGAAGTTTGAATAAAATTTATCAATATGATAAAATTAAATAAATTCTTGTTCCAAATCACTTAGAAGTTCATTAAAATTCGGAATCCGATTTTACAGAATACCTAATAATGTAAATTACCATTATTATATTTAACCCATCATTTCAGGATCTCAGTTGATTAATCTGTAAATAGAACGTCCTTAATATCCATTATTTTCTCATATTTTCTCGCTTCATCTTTCGCTCACTGTCATTTATACAAATTTCGATATTCCCTTGTATATAGTATCGTCGTAAGTATAGTTGAATCGTGAGTAGAGCCCCTGCTAATATTTATAATAAGTATATTTATATATATATTTATATATTTATATATATATAGAAATAAGTGTTTGTACTATAAAAAAAGTAAAATGTTCAACGGTAACGGGCGGAGTCCGGCGATCACGTAGATCATCAAACTTTTGAGAATCCATATATAATAAGAAAAAAAAAACGCGTTTTAAGAAGGCGATTTACTCCAAAAGAAAAAAAATTCCCCGAAAGAAAGTACAACTTGAAGAATAACGCGCATTCACACCCTATACATAAAATACGTCCTTTTTCCCAAAAACTTGAGCTGCAGGGCTCCGATACCTGTTACCGTGATGATTTGATACAATGCGTTTGGTGATAATTAGGTGGGTTTTTCTCAGAGAACGTTTGTGTACATATGTGTGACTTTGTGCGCGCGGGAGCGCGCGCGTTTCTTTGTGTGTGTGTAGTGTGTGTAATTTATGTAGTGTATACCATGTGTGTAGTGTGTAGTGTGTGTGTTATACATATGTACCGATCGTGTACCGCGCACGGATACAGACGATCGCGCGTGTGCCGATTTTTCGACGCACAAACGCTACGCATCGAAATAAAGAGCGAATTGAATGGAATGTTCTTTGTTCTAGTTCCGCGCATGCGCACTAGGGCTCAAATCCCAACGACCTACCAACCAGCGGCCGAGGAGAGGTGCGCGTTACGAAAAATCGGCACGCTATTTCGAAGAATATTACTTTTTATACTTTATTCTCGTTTACGTTGCTTAGGAAAAATTATTGTGCCGATAATATGTTGGGTCGCTAGCGAAACCCTAAACAGGCAGTGCAGTACGAGTGAGTCCTTAAGCAATCTCGAGGCAAGCTTCGGCCTAATATCACGTTTCGAGTCCATTGCTCATATATTTTTTTAAAATTAATTACGTCTCCGTTTCTCTTCATTCGCATCGTTTATGGTTTTACTCATCGATCTAATTCATCGTTCGTCATTACCCCCCCCCCCC